AGGCCAACTCTTCAGACAGGGATTGGACTGCACTGTGGGACACAGAGTGATACTTGTGAGGAGTGTGCCTCTCAGCTTAGGTAGATACAGGAGACTAAACGGGCAGCTTCTGTCCAGAGGTGAGATGGGAAGGCAGAGAGGGATAGGAGGTGGTTGAATGGATAGGGGGAATCAGGGATGGAAAGGAGGAGGAGTGTGCTGTCACAGTGCGGGGAGAGCAATTAGGGTCACATAACAGTTTATGTATAAATTTTTATATGGGATACTTACTTGAAATATAAACTTCATTTAAACTACAACAATAAACCAAAAAAAAAAAAAAGAGAGAGAGAGAAGAGCAAGGGGTGTGGCATGGAGAGTGCCTGTTGGTGCCATTTTTCAAAAGATGGGTAGTAAAGGCTACAATAAGAAGGTAACATTTGATCAGAGATCTAGAGCAATAGAGTTCTGCGCAGAGGAAATAATAAGTGCAAAGTCCCTGAGACAGGACTGTGTTTGGCATGAATGAGAAACGGCAAAGTGGACAGAAAGGCTGCCGTAAAAGTTGTGAGGGAGAGAGAGGAAGGAGATGAAATCCATTAACTGGTGGATCATGGACTGCCTTGTAAGTTATGATAGAGACTTTGATTTCATTCTGAGCAAGATGGGAGGACTGTGGACCCACGAAATATTTGTTTCTTTCTCAATAACAAATACCTATGGATGAGCAATATAGGCTAGTGTCTGTGCTAAGGATCGGTGACTATAAGAAGACATAGATGATTCAGGAACTCCAAATCTGCTTTGAAAGAATATATTTCATATATTATAAATGTAAATATGCAATGTGAGGTAGCATAAATCAAGTTCTAAATGAGAGGGCTAGGCTAGGATTTCACAGAATGTGTTCTCGGAGACATTAGTCTGGAGAGATGCTGTTTGAAATAAAAAGATCTCACTCAAGTAAGTTTGAGAAATAGGGCATTGTCCACCCCCTCACAGAGATTCACAATGCATATTGGCATATTACAGACTCTAAAAATAAATACACATGAAAGAAACCTGTTTAACTTGGTTTAACCCAGTGTTACCAAATCTTTTTGATCACAGGATCCTTTTTCCTGCATCACCTATTAACATCCTGAGGAATTGTGATTCCAAAGAACCTATGTTACAAGAGACACAAAGCTGAGATAGGAAGGAGAGATTTTTTTGGAGAAAGTGTGATCTGAACTGAGCCTTAAAACAAAGATGATACTTAGATTAGTGAAGGGGATGGGCATTCAAGGCAGGAGAAATGTTAAGTAACTCACTTCAGAGTAAGTCTCTTAGAACTTGCCTCTTCAAATAACATTGAGCTGTAGAATGAATATCCGAGATATACTGATAAAACTGTAATTTTGATGAGCATTGGTAGACTTCTTCTGAACCTCAAGATATCAGACATGAAGATGAATTATTTTGTGGGAACTTTCTCAATTCCTTGGCATTATTGTATAGACAACTAAGTTAAGGCCCAGAGAGACTATAACTTACTCAATCATCCCCGCCTAATCGATGGCAGAGTGTTCATTTTCCTGCTCTGGGGCCAGGGTCCTGTTCCATAAATGACGGAGTTATGGTCTTTGTATGTCTGCAACAGACAGTTTGGAATTAAAGCAAAAAATCAATTCCTATGCAAGATGAAGACTTCAGCATGCAGTGGATACAGAATCAAATTAAAGAACAACACAAGCTTGGATTTTAATGAAGCTCATCTTTGTTTCTTTTGCAGATCAGATTTTTGGCTCTCATCTGCACACAGTGTGTGAACGTGAAAATTCCACGGTCCCGCAGTTTGTAAGGCAATGCATTGAAGCTGTAGAAAAAAGAGGTGAGTAGCTGAATATGCAGCAGTTTCTCCCCATTACTGATCTCTCTAAACAACCAGTGTTCAAGGTAACAGTGCCACTTGATTTGTCTGGGAAACTGTGCAATTAAAACTTGACTTTTGTTAATCAGTTAAGAGGATCAAGTTTCTTATTAACTTCAGTTTGTTTTTACAATAGGGGCATTAGAATTTCTCACTAATGTTCCTTTTTTTTTTTTTTTTAATATTTTGTCTTGTTGATGTGCTGTTGATTCAACTGCAAACTTCTTGTTTTCAAGCCAGTGATAAAACATTCATAAAATATCAGCACTCATACTATTAGATCCCTCTGAACATTCGTGATGTTGTGCCAGGACATTTTTTGGTAAGCCCCCAACATTATCCAAGTAAGCAAATAGTGTTCCTACGTGCAAACAGTGATACTCTATCTTACACGTTTCTCTTAAGTACAGAGCACATCTAACTGGTTTTCCTGGAAAAATTAACACGCACACCTCCAGTGTTAAGACGACCTTTGATTCCTCTATTCTGTTTTTCATCTAAAATTATTTCAGCTTACTGAAGAGAACAAAACAAAACCCAATTGACTCATCATTGCCACGCTAGTCTATCTGTGGGGTGTTTTTCCTTCAGACTATGACTTCATTCATTCAAGGTCATTTTCTCTAGAAGATACATACAGTAGATGCAGAATCTTAAAAAACGTATTGTATAAAAATGTGAAGCTTCATCACCATCTGTTACAACTTTACAACACATTCCCAGGATCTAGGGGGATATATATCATGTAAAAGATAGAGGTGTTTTCAGAAAAAGAATTTGTGAACCTATTCCTATTTTCAGCCCCCAGTCTCTTAAAACAATAGAACTAAGGGGAAAAAAAAAAACCTTTACCAAGTTATCTGCTAGGAAAAAGCCATATTAATTCTCAGAGTGTTACCTGGCTTTATTATAGAAGCATAATAAAAATGGTCTGCAATTTCCAACTCCTAGAAATTCATACTTTAATTATATTGTAAGGGCAGCCTTGGGATCCTGTTATTCCCATATCAGTAGGGAATGAGAGAATCACAAGAACAGGAAGAGTGGGTAGGGAGAGTGGATAAAGAGAGCGGCTTTGGGGGAAAGCATAGCAACACATCAGGGAGAAAAACAGAGAATATGAAGAGAGAGAGTAGAAAAGGTAAATGCAGAACAAACACCAGGAAAGGTATCTGTAAGGAATGAAGTCAACTGGAGTTTAGAGAAAAACGTGTTTTTATTGCGTGGTGCAATCTCATTTAATTTTATAACTATATATTTTAGGAATAAATATTATTTAATACGCACTTAAAGCCAAAATGGATCACTGAGAATGTTATAATGTTATTATTGCCAATAGCTAAATTATTATCATTCCCAGGAAATTTTCATTCACTCATAAATACCTGGTACTGATGGTGTGAGCGCACTTATATTAGACCAAAAATCCAAATAAGACTTTTGGGGAAGCTGTACTTAATAAGATGTGTGCATGTATAAAGAAGAGCTCTATACCTCTCTATTATTGTACACACCCTAGGCAAATGAGAAAACTCGGCTAGATGCAGCCATGCAGTGTGCAGATATTATAGTATTGTAGAATAGAAATTATCTATAAATAGAAACTGTATCTTTTGTTCATGGCATTTGGTTTGTGAGTTTTAATAAAATAAGACAATGTTTTTGCTGACAGGCACAATCATATCTGGCATTATATTTCATTGTCCCAGTGTTTACTCTTAAAATGAAGGCATAGATCCAGCACTAAACAGGCGCTAAGCACACATATGATTATTAAAATAATTCCTAAGCATTTAATGAAAGTCGAAGACTTTGCAATTCTACAGAGCAACTGATAATTCAGAAGCACTTTGGCAGTGTCAGCTTAAAGGAGCTCTATGGAAATTTTCAATATAAACTCAGAGGTGCGAGATAAACCTCTCACATCATTGCAAGATTTACAAGTGTGTACTTTTGATTATGTTTTTCTATGATCATTTTCTTGGATTAATATTCTTACATTTATACGCCAATCCTATTTACTCAAAGTGTTGTTTTTACTAAATTCTGGCATAAAGCACCTTAGGACAGAAATAATTTATGTGAATCTAAGTCCAATGTTTATGCAGGGTTCTGATGACATTTTATGCTGGGATTGGTATTAAGAAGTAGCGTATAAAAGTGCCAAGTCTCTCAGCACGGCTGGGACTCAGCGTATCTGAAGCCGTTCTTCTAATGGCCACATCCTCTTCCAGCCAAGACACTCAACTGCAGAGTCATGGGAAATGCTTATGGACCTGTTGTGGGAAAAGCATATTTAATGAAAACTGTGTGTTTGTTCTTACAGTCTTAGGGAGATGGCCTCAGTACTTATTACAGTGGCACATTGTTACCAAAAAGATTGTTTCCTTGATGTTGTTTTTCTCCACCTTAAAAAAATCATCTGCAAACTATAGCTATATTTAAAAAAAAATATTTCTGACATATTTGATTTAAAATGAAATATTATTAGGAAGCAGATCTCACCATTTAGTTAGTGAATTGGTTGGTTAGTTGGTTGGTTGGTTGGTTGGTTGGTTGGTTAGTTACTCAGTCTTACCTGCTTGCTCTTGACAGAACCAAATTGCTCTTGCTTCTGTTGTGTCCCCAGGGAAATCCTACCTAGTACTTGGTACAATATACTTTTTTTATTCATCCCTGGTAAGGTAGCATTAGTTACATTTTAAATTTTGCATCCTCTGGACATGGCTAGAAGAAAATCTATCAGTGAGCCTAATGTAAACCAATTTAGCGAGTAACTTGTTTAGTATGTTTCCTTATCTGATTTGGTTCCTTTTATTCCTCGAAACCACCAGAGCATCTCTTCCTCACCAACTATTATAACTAGATTAAAGTCTTTTCTGTGGTTTCTGACATTGTCTGCTTAGCCTAGAAAATATGTGCAAAACTTGGAGGGTAAACTATAAAGGAGCGTGTTATTTATTCTTCAAAGCTCTTCCAAGTGTTTCGTTCTCTGTTGCCTTGCCTTTACAGTTGCAGACCAGGCATATGAGACAGTTTAACTGGCCATTTAAAAATTTTATGTTTCTTTTCCAAAGTAATTTCTCCAAAAATATTGAGTCATTGTTCAGCTAATGCTCAATACCTATCTTTGATAGTGGTTGTTCTTAGTTGCCCTTGAGCTGACTCCAACTCATGGCAACATTATGTATGACACAACGAAACATTACTCAGTCCTATACCATCTTCATGATTATTGGCATATTTGAGTGCGTTGTTGTGGCTATTGGTCAGTCCATCTCATTGAGGCCCTCTCTTGTTTTCTTTGACCCTCTGCTTAACCAAACATGATATCCTTTTTTAGTGTTGACCTTTCCTGATGACGTGTCCAAAGTAAGTTAGCCAAAGTCTTGCCATCCTAGCTTCTTAGGAGCATTCTGATTGTATTTCTTCAAAGACTGATTTGTTTGTTCGTCTGGAAGTCCCCACAGTATATTCAATATTCTTTGCCAGACACCACAATTTGAACGCATCATTTCTTCTGTATTCCTTTTTTTTTTAGTAAGATGAGCAAAAACGTGAGATCATCTGACTTTTTTTTTGAGGTGTGAGGAATGACTATGTAGATGGAGGCATGGTGACATGCTGGTGGATGTAATACAAGCAGTGAGAAGCCCATTTTTCACTGCTTTGTAGAAAACCTTGTATAGTTTATGATGATCTAAAATGCATATAGAAATTGCTTACTGAAAAATAGGACCACTTGTATCTCTCAGAGACAAGGGACTAGGAGAAGTGAACTAAACAAAATATCTTGTCTAAACTGATGTAATAAGTATTAGGACTTCCTTCCATAGTTCTTTTTATGTGAAGTATGTAACTCACTGACTACTGTTTGTAAACATCCATCCTTTGGAAAGAAGCCTTACACACAGTAGGCACTCCATAAATATTTGTTGAATGAAAGGACAGACTCTAAGTGTCTATTGGATTCAAGCAACAAGTAGTTATCAAGTATCCACTATGTGCCGATCACCATGCTATCAATTGAGAACATAGAGGAGATTTACATTAAACAAACAGACACACACGCATATGTTAGCACAAACTCTGATAAGTGCTATGAAAGGAAAGAACAGACACTATGAGAGAGAATAACTGCTACAAAAATAAAAACATAGGAGGAAGTGTACTACCTCAAAATAGCATAATAAACCCTGAATAATAGTGCACACTTGTCCGGTTTTAGCTCCCAATAAGATCAGGAAAAGTTTAATTCTGCCTTATTTCCCAGGTTATTTTCTTCACAGTGAAGTATAAGAAGATGCTTTGTGTAAGATACCCAAAAAGACATACTTTAAATGGTAAACCAGTCCTTTTTCTACCCAACAATACCAAACATGTATTGCTGGAGACGTCCTTTATACAATAATGAGGTAAACTAAATGGATGAGCATACTTCTATCCTAAACATATTTTTATGCATTCAGTATATATTTTTGTTTACAAGGAAATAGAACTGGTTTTCAAAAAAATCATTTGACCTCATCAGGATTGGCATTCATCCTTTGGAATATGGTTGGACAACTCATTCTTCCTTCATGATTCCCAGTTCTGGTTAATATGTCCCCAAACTATTTAGCAACATTAAAATGATACCACGTCTTCCCAGTTTGATGACTCCAGGTGTAAGCTACTTTGCAGAACTGGCTCAGCAGATGCTAATCAACAAGAAGTTTGTCTTCTCTTTTTTTTTTTTTTTCTTTCTGGAACGCAAAATTCTGTGACAGGAGTGATACACAATGTTACATATTTGACTTCGTGCCTAAAAGCCACCCTGGGGTCCCTAACCTTGCTTAAAGATTTAAGAAAGACCTTTAATCTGCTTTTGAGAAGGTCCTTAGCCTCGAAAACTTTATCTCTCAACTTGACTTCTTAGCAGCTGTTATATTTTTTTGCTGTCGTTTGTTTGACAGGATCCA